TTGTGCCTGATGATTCTGAGCTTTTCATATAGATCATGATATTTATGTATGACGTTATCCGGACGTTGTGGCAATTGTAATAATGTGGTGGATTTTATTAGATAGCTAATGCATGTCTGAAAAGTATCATTAGTAGTGCAGCGTAGCATTATGCATTGTGTATGTCTGAAACCTGTTTGTGTGCAGGTAGTTGGGGAAATGAATGCTGTGAAAAAGGCCATAGAAATTATCTCCTCACGCTTGAGGGAGAGCCAGCATCGTGATCGTAGTCACTTTCCTGGTCGGCTACATTCTCCTGAGCGGTTCATTCCTCCTGATGACGAATTTATTCCTCACATGAACAATACAACCCGCAGGGCGTCTGAAAATGGGTCTAGTTTTGGATCAAGGCTACCTGCTGGTATGAGTAGTGGTCGAAGCAACAACTATCCCTCATCCTCGTCTGGATATGCCATTGAATCTGGAAACGCTCCTGGCAATGAGAATGGGCAGGTCATGTATGTCGAAGATCTTGTGTTCCGAATTCTATGTCCAGTTGACAAGGTTGATACTGTTGCTGGAGAATCAGATGGAATTATAGAGTTGCTTCAGAATGAGATTGGCGTGGATGTCAAGATTTTGAATCCTGTTGCCAGCTCAAACGAACAGGTCATAATCATTATGTCTGATGAGGTACTCCTCCTTTTTCTTTTTCACATCACAGTAAGTCATTGCTGCTTTTGGCTGTTAGAGTTTTAATTTTTAGTTTGCTGTATGGGAGAAGAGGATTCCACTAGTTTTTTTCCCCCTTAGCCTTGTTTCTGAATTTGTTAACTTTATCAAGCATAGACCTCATAGAATTATGTTTAAAACTTTATGAAAGATCTCTGGTTTATATTTGTCTTTTAGGGTCCAGATGATGAGCTGTTTCCTGCTCAGGAAGCTCTTTTGCATATACAAACCCGCATTGTTGATCTTGTTCCAGAGAAGGAAAATGTTATTACAACTCGTTTAGTTGTGCAAACAGATGAAGTTGAATGCTTAGGAGGAAGAGATGGACCATTATCTGACATGCAGAAAATAACTGGTGCTACTGTCCAGATTCTACCAAAGGAAGAACTTCCACCATGTGTGTCAGGGTCTGACGAAATTATACAGGTAATGCCAATCTTCTTTTAATCTTCTAATATGATGGTACCAATGTAGCTAATTTGATTCTCACGTTGTTTAGTTGATATATGCACCAGAGATGGTGCATAATTGGGCAATGCATTCCTTTTGCAAGATACATGGGTTGTGCAACGAAGGAATCTTGTATCTGCAGTTTTATCAGCTGCCATTAATTTTCCTAAATGTCTTAGTGTAGCATAGGTTGCTGTTGTGTAGAAGAGATTTTAAGAGAATTCAGATTATTGGTTAGAGCTGTAATCTATCTCCCCAGGGTAGGGGCAAGGTCTAGGTCTGCGTACATACTATCCTCCCCAGGCCCCACTTGTGGGATTTCACTAGGTTTATTGTTGTTGTTGTTGTTGGTTAGAGCAGTACTAGTGTCCGGTTGTTGGACTCATTGTTTTTTCTGGACGTGGTCTGTAATTCTTCAAATCTCCAGATTGTTGGAGAGATAAAAGCAGCTAGAGAAGCACTTGTTGAAGTGACATCGAGGCTTCGGAGTTACACTTATCGGGAGTTCTTTCAAAAGGATATACCCTCACCAGCAGTACCTGCATCAAGCCCAGCTAGGAGTAATATTGGAGCAGACAAATGTTCCGTCAACAACACATCTCCTTCTCAACAAAACTACAATGTGAACGATGTTCAAACTTCAATCTATCAAAATGCACCAGCCAAACTGATGACACAGCCAGTAAAAGTGAGTTAATTGCCATTCCTTCTTGTTTCCGGATGAATCTAATTTTTCTTACCCCAGCCTTTGCCGTTACATCCTAATGAGCTTGGATAATACTTAATAGTTTGTCAAATAGCCTTAGTTGTCTCAAGAAATGTCTAATAGCTCCTTATCAAAAAAAGGAAATGTCTAATAGCTGGATTCATAGGTGTTGGATCCCCCTATTATATTCCATTAAAAGGTGTTTTCTCTGTAGGAAACTGGGGCATCTGCCAGTGAAATAGCCAAGCAAAATGAAAATGAGCGTCGTGAAGATATTCCAAGCGGATTGAATAGGTAACAATTCTCTGTTTTATCTTAAACCATGGTAGTTTGCTGTCTTTGAACCTAAATTTCTCTTTTCCAGAATGCATGTACCATTGGTCACAAGAAGTACATTGGAAGTTGTCATACCTCCACACGCAGTGCCCAAACTGATAACAAAATCAAGAAATAAGCTTGCTCAGATTAGTGAGGTCAGTTTGGCTTCTTCATTGCAACCACTTTCCTTAAGAATCACGTTTGCCTACAGCAAGTATCATTATAACATTATTTTTATTGCTGACAGTTGTCAGGAGCAAATGTTAAATTGATTGAGGATAGACCTGAGGAAACAGAGAAAATCATACAAATATCAGGCACTCCGGAGCAAGCGGAGAGAGCTCAAAGCCTGCTTCAAGGGTTTATTTTAAGTAGTAAGTATCTTTCTTCTCTCTTCATCTCAACCTTAAACTGGGAGTTAGAGAGAAGTGTGTGCCAGTAAACCCCAACCCCCTCCCAAAAAGGGGGGGGGG